GTTGTTTTTATTTATTTTATTTATTTTTATATTTTTTCTTTTCTTTTATTTTATTTTCCTTTAAATAAAAGATCTTCTGCTCGACGCTCATCACTTTAAAATTTGCTACAGCTTGATAGTTTTTAGTAAATTTTATTACAATATCAGATCTGTAGACAAAATTTTCAAGCTCAATTACAACCTATCTAAAAAAAATACAATAGTACAAGAAATAAGCAATATGAGCATATTAAACAAACAATAGCATGAACTCAACCAAGCAATTATTATAGCAGCCAAGAAGAACATATCTAAGATTAAGATTCAGTCCCAAATATTCTATATCTTCTTAACCAAAACCACCAAACTACATGCAATCTTTAAGTACACTAATAATCTTATAAGACAAATATAAGCAAACACACAAACTCCCACTAACACTTTAATACAAACATATAACAAAAACATATATTATATTAACTACAAAACAAAAATACAAATTAATTACATTATGTCAAACAATCTGATATCTACTAATAAGAAGGCACTAATTATACAACTAAAAGTTCAGCAAAAGACAATACATCAGGCCAGAAAACTAGAAAACAACCTTGCTCACCAAAGTATAATAAATAAATATATTAACAAAAAATATAATAATTTTAATAACAATACACTTATATGATCAATAGCATACTAAAAAGACATACAAATTCAGTTTTACTTTATAACATATGCAAAGTAAATAAAGTTATTACAGAATCAGAACTAATATAAAAAGAAGTACAAACATATTAGAAAACTAGACAAAGCCCAACTCTTCAAACTGGAACTACTGAAAGGAGTAGGAAGAAGAATACAAACTTATAAACAACATCTAAGATTGCTGATACAAGAATATCTCTGATCTAATTACTCTGCAAGAGCTAAATGAGACCATTAAGAAATTACCAACTAGTAAAGCAACTGGACCACATGGCATCTCAAATGAGATACTAAAACATTTAGGTAGTACCAGTCTAATGCAACTCTGCACAATATTAAATACATGCCTAACACTAAACACAATCCCAAAAACATAGAAGTATAGCAACATTTATCCTATCTCTAACTCTCATAGAACATATTTGAAAAATTTTAACAAAAATAATTACTAATAGGCTTAACAATATCTTTACTAGATATCCTATACTCAACAATAGCAACTATATAGCTTTGTCAAACACTTTCACAGCTATATCAATATCTATTCTAACACATATTATAAAAAGTACAAATGGCTCCAAACAAGAACTATGACTATTATTACAGAATATGTCAAAAGCCTATAACTTTATTCATATCTTACTACTATGCAAAGCCTTATAGAAAACAAAAATACTGAAGAACATAATTAATCTAATAATTGATATTTTTACAAACCATGTAAATTCTGTAATTACAAACTATAGCAACACATCAAAATATCTGGTTCATGATGGAATAAACCAAGAAGAGATGATCACCTCTCTACTATGATGCATATACTATGATCCTTTGCTAATCAAAATTACTAAGAAATATAAAGAATATGAAATAAAGACAAATATATCTATTCTTAATAACAAGAGCACTATCTACAAAACTAACTATCTAGTACTAGCATATATGAACAATACTATCTGAATCACAACATCAAAAGAAGAACTATCTGAAATCATAACTACTGCAACTACATTTTATAATTTAACCAATATTCAGATCAACTCAACAAAATCAGTTTTAGCAACAAACAAAACTAAAACAACATCTAATATAACATTTAACAATACATCAATTACCAGTATCTCAATAAAAAAAGCATTTAAATTTCTTGAATATTGGTTCACAATAGGAAAAAGACAAACTCTTATATATTAAATTATAATAGAAAAAGCAATTAATATAATCAAAAAACTCAAATATGCAAAAATTACAGAAAAACAAGCTATCTACATTGTTATAGGTGAAAGCCTTCTTAATTTTCACACTATAACGACGACACGGCACAAGGAATCCCTTACGGGTATATG